GGGTATGGCGTAAGCAACTAGGAATGGAATGGGGAGGGTTACAAGGTGGGCCCTGCAGGCCAGGGCCCAGGAACAGAACTTATGTGGAAACAACAAAATGGAGCTGATCTGGTCCTCACAGAGTGAATCAGAGTGGAATTGGTGGGGAATGAGGAAAATACAGCACAAGGTAAGACACGGAGACAGAGGATGGGACCGAGAGGACTGACTGAGCTGATGGCTGCAGCCAGCGCCAAACCACAGAATCAGCTTTATGTTATAGTATCTGTATAGGGTTGTCCAGGGGGAAGTATTATAGACAAAATGGGGAAATAGCATAAACAAAAGACATAGTTTTGGTTTTATAGTACAATAGGAAAATGTAAATGACTTCAACAAAAACAAACCATCTTGTTAATGGTGTCTGCTCAATTTCATTAACATATGAAAAGAAATAAGAAGGGCACAATCACAAGGATCTCAGCATAGTTGACAAAACAAAGAAAGAACTACGTGACTTAGTGGTTACTACTTAACTTTGTTAGCACAAGACAAGGAGAAAGAAGGGAGGCTCTCAAGGATCTCTGCATAGATAACTAAACAAAGAAAGAGCTACTGACTTCTGGCAGAGGGAGGACGCAGAAAGGAAAATGCTGTTTCAGAACAGAGGAGAAGCAGTTGGGGGGTCATTCTCTGAATGTTAGGGCTCTGCCATCTCACAGGCCCCTCTCTACAAGGTGTGGGGCCTGAAAAAGGTGAGGATGGAAGACAAGACTTTGACTTCCTGTTTGTTGTAGACACATGTTATTAAAATGCTAAATACTGCAGATTTAAACTTTGTCACCATGTGGTAAAGTTGAAGGGAAAATGCTGGCCTCCTCCTTAAAAAGTAAAATATCAGCATCCTTTGGTAATTTGGTCCCACATGCTCCCATCTCCTTGAGCACGTCCCCTTGAGGCAAGAAAGTAAAAGCAGAACTAAAATAATCTGTCCTGGCCGCCCTGTGTAGGCCTCAGCCAAGCTGCAGGTGTTTCTGTTGTCTGGGTGTTTCTTCCTTGACATACGGGGCCTAGATTGTAACCTAGTAACTTCCCTAGACTTCCGTCGCCTTTGAGGGCAGGTGGTCCGATCCGTCTCAAGGACGCAAGTGAATCTAACCTTCCCTATTGAGCCTGGGACCTTGAGGATGATGTCATGGCTCTCTGTTTTATGACCCTCATGTGCACTCCTTCCCTGAAAAGTGGATAAAAGAGAGGCAAGAGATTGAGTCGGGGTGCTGGGTTTTGGAGACACACTGGTGTTCCGAGTTACCCCCTGGCCGGAATAAACCCGCTTCCTCTAATCAACTGGTGCCTGGAGTCTTCTGCATCGGTTTCCTGCTACACCATTGCTGTTCCAGGCCCCCACCCCACTCCCCATCAGTGCCTGACAGTCAGTACAAGGACAAGCATTGGCACAGCAAAAACTGGCTTTTTCTCTGTCCTGAATATAGAAGAAAACAATCCTCACATCTCGTGTGGTGATGGTGTTGTGACCTCTGGTTTCTTTTAAGTATTTGCTTTTTTTTGCTGAGTAATTATGGTCTATACATAAACAGATCAGATTATTGCTGGATTTTCAGTTACGTAGTGGCGTACAAGAGCTACTTCAAAGTATGGTTTGAAACAAACCCACAGAAGATGACTTCGTGCTCTGCTCTCTTCCCAGTCATTTGTGCTGTGCTGCTTTCCCAGTATGTAGTGAACTTACACATTATTGTGGTGATTCCAGTTCTGTGGAACATTTGGGGATCTATCCCAACTAGAAACATTTGTAGCTCTGCCTGTTGTTCTTCCATAAGGATTCACTGATGCCTGGTGGCCATGCTGCCTTTCTTATAGTCACCTGAACAGTGACCTGTGCTGTTCAACCAGCCAGTCTACTCAGGTGACTTTCTTGTCCAGGTAAACCTGAATTTATCTACCAAGTACAGTCATGTTTAAAGAAGCAAAAGACTGAGCACAACACCCATGTCCACACACTCAGGAGTTGGTTAGAGTTTTTTCACCTTGCACATCATCTTTATTTTCAATACTAATGAGCAATGTAAGGTCCTCTCCTACTTCTGCCCCTGGTACATCATTAGAGAGGAACGTCCAGTGAAGACCGACACTGAGGGAAATTGTAGTAATATGGAGATTACTTGGGCCAAGGCTGAGGACAGTAGCCTGGGACATGTGTCCAGGCTGCCCTGGTGGGAGGTAAGAGAGGTAAGCGGGGGCTTCCCCTACTCCAGCCGGTGGCAGGTCTGAGGCTGGTCTGTTGTTTTTGTGACCTACACTCAGTGTACAGGTCCCTCACTTCCAGACCTGGGTCTGGTCTCCCAGCTCGCTCCTGCCCTTGCCCCTCCGCCTGGGTGGTACTGGGACCCTGTGGGTGCTTCGCCCACTTCTGTTTGCTCACCGGCCCCCCCCCGCTCTTTCATCAATCACATTTTCAACTCTTTTGCTTACTGTTTCCCCCACCTCAACTGTGACCACCTCACTGACACCCTAACTCCTGTATTTCTTTCATTCAAAACCCCCTCCTGCAGCTGCCCATCCTCCAGGGCCTGGAGCAGCTGTCTGGGGCGGGGGCAGGGGAGGCCCCTCCTTTGCGTCTCTGTTCAGTCTGCACTGGTCTGGGCCATCTTTGCACAGGCCCAGCCTGTCTCCATTAGGCCCCTAGAAAAGCCCCTGGCAGGTGGCGGGGCTTCCCAGCCTGGCCTGCCCCTGGCACTGGGAAAGTCTGGGAGTGGGGCCACAGACAGGGCACTTTTTGTCTTGCTGGGGAGGGAAGGCCTTGGGACAGGCTTGGGGTCCATCCTGGAGGGAGGCTGGTGTGGGTGGGGGAGCCTGAGGCAACCCATACTTTATATATGCGCATACACATGCATACATAAATATATACATACACACACACATATATGGTGAACATAAAGTTCATGTGCAATTTAAAAGTTCAACATAGTATGGGTGGTGCCTGAGGCTCAAAAGGGTAGGGCGCTGGTCCCATATGCCAGAGGTGGTGGATTCAAACCCAGCCCTGGCCAGAAAAAAAAAAGTTCAACATAGTAAATTAAATTGCAGATCAACTTTATGTCCTCCCCCACACATATACACATATGTGTAATTTTTTTCCTTTTTTGCTTATATTTGCAGCAGAAGCAGAAGGCCATGCTTTGTTCTTAGCATCTGAATGCCTTGGGCTGGCAGGGAAAGGTTTGGTTGGCCACAGCCCTATCCCCGCTGTTCCCAAGACACGCCTATGAGCCTCTGCACAGGCTGTTCCTGTGGACCAGCCAGAGGCCTCAGAGTCTGACCTATCTTTTGACTATCTTCAGGGCTGCTCCTGTGTGGGACCCTCTGGTGTATCTGCTGAGCCACAAGGCCGCCCCTGCTCTCCCAGTACCCCTGTAAGCTGTAGAGAAAACAGAGCCCTGATCTTCAGCGTAAGACTTGCCGCATCGTGCTTGAGACCTGGAGAATCTGAGAATGGCATGAGTTGTGTGCATGAAAGAGAGCAGAAAACTGGCCTCCAAGAGACAATGTATATGTGAAATGTGGCAATACCAGGCCTGGGGGTCGTGGTAAAGACTCTCTAGATTTTAAAGGTCTCTTGATGCTAGAGGCAGAGGTCTTGCTAACGGTCTGAGATTTTGTAGAACAAATTAGAGACATTCTGTTGACACTTTCTTCTCCCTTTTTTAATGCTGATACCTGATAACTAACTTTTAACTTTTTTCTGCTTTGTGATTATTAATGTGAGGGCTCCTCCCAGAGTTCCCCAGTTTCCTCTCCCCACACACAGACTTTGTGTTAAGTCTCTCCATTCTTTGAGCCGAGACCTCCTCATCTGGTAGCCCAACCCCTCAGTAAACCTCTGCCAATTCCTGTATGCCCATGCCTTGACTAAGAAACTGGCCTCTCAGCCTGGCTTGGCACAGAGACGCACTGAAGACTTAGCAGCGGGAGGAAAGTACCTGCCTGGTGGCCAAGGGGCATGTCCTCAGCACTACCTTGCCTGCAGCTGTAAGCCCAGAGGGGCAGGAGGCAACTACCCTGTTCCTGTCCTCTAGTTTCCTGGGTACCCCCAAACTCTCCTAGCTCTTCCCTCACACCTGCCCCACTGTGCACAATGACATCCTCCGGGAAGCAGAAGGCCAGGACTTTAACCCCAGCCAGATGACCTGGGGCAACCTGTGCAACCCCTCCAACATGCCTGACACTTGGGGACGACCAGTTGGCCCTCCCAGGAGAGGGGAGAACTCTGTGTTCTGGTGCCCTCTTCTGCCCCCATGTGGCCACTCCAAGTACTGCAGCCCCCGTTGGGAGGCACCCCACCCCCACCCCCCAACACTGGCCTCTAGCTCTGCCTTCCTAGGCCTTGCCCCATCCGAGATCTAAGGGTCACATGTGACCCAGTCCTACTCTGCTTAGGCCCTGAGTGGCTCCCATTCAGGGCCCTTCCCACAAAGGACTTGGGGCCCGTGTGTCCTCCAGCAGGGCCTCTGGTCTGTGCCTCTGTGGTGCCCCCCCGCCCCCCACCGCACCTGACACCACTGGAGGGGCAGGTGCAGACAGGCGGCAGTAGCATCGGGTTTGGGTGCTGTGCCTAGCTCCTGGGCCAACACCCGAGGTCTCAGATACAGCCCTACCAGTGACTGTGCCCAGCCAAGCTGCCACCCACCATTTGCAAAGCTGTGCCAGGGCAGGGGCTGGTGCCTGCACAGGGGAGGGTGGGAGGCAGACTGGCCAGGCTGGGCCTGCTCTGTGTGGCTGAGCCCTTTGGCAACATTGCCCTGTCCCCACCCTCCAGGGCAGTCACTGTTTAGTCTGACTTCCAGAGGGTGGGAATAGAGGAAGGGCATTGCATCCCACAACCTGGGAGAGGATGAGACAGGTGGGACTCATGCCCGGGTCACTCTGGGTGCTGTTGGTAGGTGACCCTGCAGGGCATTTGTGGAACTCTTCAGAATTGAGGCGCAGCATGGACACCAGGACACAGGGGAGGAACATGGGGACTTGTTTTCTCCTCGTATAGGCAGGGAGGGATGTTCCTGAGAGACCTTCCGGAAGAGCATTACAATTACAAGCCTGGAGGGCAGGCGGTGGTGTCTTCCCCTCAGGGCACTCACTCTCTGCTATGGGGTCCTGAGGCCTCTCCTCACCCTGAGGCTGGGCCCATATGGGGTCTTAGTCCACACCTGGGGATCTAGCATCCAAGCAGCTCGACTTGGCCCCACAGTGGATGGCAGCTGTCAGTGTGTTTGGGACCAGGTGCCGGGCTATGGGCAGCCAGGTGTTGGAATCTGCATGTCAGGTGCGGGAGCACCGTGGCTCAGAAGGTCTGGGGAGCCAGAGCTGGGAGCATTTGAGGAGCAGAGTACAGAGCGCTGACAGCTCAGGGCGCTGGAGCACCTGGCCTCTGGTAATAGATTGTTAAGGGCCCAGGTATCAGGTGTCTGGACTGCAGGGGCGCAGGACCCAGATGCATGCTCCAGAGACAGGGGCTCTCTCCTGGGAGGTGGGTCTTGGCCAAGCTGTCCCCATCACGGTTGCGAGCCCCAGATGTGTCTGCAATAGAGATGTGGTTTGGAGGGGGCATGTGGGGTCTTGGGAGAACAAGGGAGGGCACCGGGAGGGGGGCCAGGCGGGGCCTCACATGCTGTTGTCCTTCCTGCGGCGAAGCAGCACATAGGTGAGAAGGATGGCGGCCACCAGCGCCAGGCCTCCGAAGATAATGCCCAGCAGCACCCCGTAGCTCCGACCTGGTGAGGGGACGAGAGTGTTGAGGCTGGTCTGCGACCGTGGGCACGGCGGTGGGGGGTGCTCAGGCAGGTGTGTGTGTGGGTGGGACATCCTCACCTGGCTGGCACACTGGGGTGGGCGCAGACCAGCGGCCATCAGCCCGGCAGGTGCTGGTCTCTGCCCCGACCAGGCTGTAGCCGTTGTTGCAGTGGAAGTAGATGGTGGAGCCCTCCAGGTACCTGATGCTATCCTTGCGCCCATTCTGGGGGGCAGCCAGCCAGCCACAGGATACAACTAGGGCAGGGGCAGAGAGCAGATGACAGGCCTGAGCCGCTGGCCACTGCCCACAGTCTGCTGGCCCAGGGGGTCCTGCCCCAGAGCAAAGCACACACCCAGCGCCGTTCCCACACCTGCCCTCACCTGGCTGCAGACTCTGTACCCGATGCTGGTGCAGCTGGTGGGCCAGCCGTGTGGCATTGCCTGTGCTCAGGCTCCCGGTGGCCGCCACATCAAAGTTGCAAAACTGATCATCCCCGCAGAGTTCAGCTGCCTCATCTGCCTGGCTGGGGCTAAGAGTGGCCTCACCAGGGAAGAGGGGCTCAAAGGTGGGGTCGTGCTTGGGTTGGTACAGAAAGTTATTCCTCAAGAACCAGGAGTCATAGGTGAGCAGGGAGGAAGTGTTCTGCACAGCCCCTGGGGAGACAGGCCCAGCTGTACTTGGTGGCCCAGGTGTGGGGAATCCCCTGGGTCCACAGACCCCACATGTGCCATGCCCTCTACCCAGCCCTCCATAGGGTCACTTACAGTTGGCTCCAAAATGGAACAAATCCCGAGGACTGGAGCTTGGGGGCAGCACCTGCCCACTGCGAAGGGTGAAGTCGTCTGTGGGGTCGTTATTGAGAGTCCCGAGGAGGCCGTGAGTGTGGGTGAGGAATTTCGCAGGCAGCAGGACAGACACACTCAGGAAGGGGCCCTGAACGCTGACCTCCAGGCCAGCCCCCGAAGCCAGCATGACTGATACCCTGTCCCTGGCAGCCACTGACAGGAACAGGCCTGGGCACAGGTCGGGTAGGTCAGGGTCACCCCTGTGGGCACCATGTCCACCTCTCCTGCAGCCCCAGGAAGGGGGGGTTAGCACCCATGGAGCAACTGTGGGCGGGGGCATCTCCAGGCCAACTCTGCTGTGACACTCCATTGCTCCCGGCCACACCTGCACCAGAGCCCCCAGAAGTGCCCAAGGCGCCCAGTCAGTGTGATGAAGCCCACACTGAGAGTGCTCCTGGGCCACTCCTGACTAGGCTGCAGCAGCCGTGCCTGTCTTGGCCCTTCCTGAGGGTCTTCGCACCCTCAGATGAACAGGTCCAGGCCAGGCCTCCCACTGTCCCCACTAAGAAATGTTTTGTTTTTTGAGTCCCTTGAGCAAGGGACGCCTAAGCTGCTGCACTTCTGAGCTCTGAGTGTTGTCCTTAACCTTCCAGGGCTGGTGTCCCTGTGGTAGCTTTTTTGAACACAGGAGTGGCACTGTGTACCCCAATGGTGAGAGAGAGAAGCCAGAGTGAGTCCCCTCTGTACAGCTCCTGGGTTCCTCAGGGAGGACACATCCCACAGTGCTAGTCTCTCAGGCCTCTGGCTGGGTCCTGCTCCCTCTGGCCTGGGACCATGTCTGGCCTAAGACAGCCATGGGGGAAGTGCAGGGATTCACCTGCAGCCATATTGCACTGGCTCCTATCTGAGCCCCCAGAGGCCTCTGTCTTTGCATCAGAGCCCTGGGCACCATCCCAGACTCCAGCCAGGGCTGAGGAGAGGTGTGAAGGTCCAGGGTCACCCTTCAGCCCCTGGGCAGGGTGGGGAGGGAGGCTAGGCCAGCCTGTGGCTTTGCCCACCTGGACCACTCACCCTTCAGGTCCATCCAGCTCTGCTCTGTAAAACTGAGCACCTCTTGATTCAGCAGCACCTCTAAAACCCCGGCCCTGTCAGCCAGCCGGACCTCAACCACATCTGAGTTGCCCTCCTGGACAGCTACAGCAGTCAGCCCGGTGCCTCGGATCTGTGTGCCTGTATGGTGGGCACAGAATAGGGTCTGGTTGGCTCCAGCTTCCCACTGGGTGACCTGGCACCACCCCAAGCCCCAGGCCCAGCCTCACCGTTGGATGTCGCCCTGGGCTGGGCCCGTGCCTGCACCCTCAGGTCAGTCAGCGCGGCCTCCAGTAGCACGTACTCGCCCCTCCCATTGAATGTGAACTTGGTGCCATCAAAGGTAACGAAGTGTGGGTCTCCGAAGGCAGAGGCTGGGGTGAGAGCCAAGGGTCAGGCAGGGCCCCCTCGCTGGGTCAGCTGCACCCTCCCCAGCCCCTAGGTGGGCACTCACCCAGGTGGGGGGGCCGGTAGGTGCGGCAGTCATTGGAGGGCCGCCGCGCCATGTAGCGTGGACAGTCAGGCGCCCAGAGGCAACAGTAATAGAAGCTGAGCACATCATAGAGCCAGTGGGACATGCCGGGCACGCGGGGTGGTGTGCGGTATGGGGGTGCTCCCCAGTCGTGGCCTCGGTCGGGGGTGCTGCCGCTGCTCGAGTCTGCCGTCAGGAGCTGCGTGCCATCTGCCATGTAGCAGCACTGCTGGCCGGCGCCGTACCGGGGGCTGGGGACACAGGCGGGTCAGGGTGGCCTTCCAGAGCCTGGGTCCACCCTGCCCCGGCCCCAGCCCTCTGGCCTGGCTCACCTGGCCTGCACAGAGCGCACACAGTGCACAGCCCCCGGGTGGTAGGTGCACTCGCTGCCCTGTTCCATGTCACAGCCGTAGTCCGTCTGCAGAGTGGCCAGTGGCTGTCACTTGCTGGCTCTGGGTTCTGCTATCCCTTTCCTGAAGCCAGCCCCACAGGGGGCTCAGACTACAGTCCCTCCTCCCAGCGCCTCAGTGGGGGAGACTGTCCCTGCCAAGGGCCTGCCTGTTCCCTCCCTTGGGCCCCGATGGGGCCTGAGCTCACGTGGAAGCGGCCAGAGTCAGCACGGGCCTGCGCTAGGGTGCAGGGGCAGTCGGGCAGCTCCCCCAAGAAGTCAGGCAGCTGGTCCTCCAGCTTTTCCCAAGCCAGGCACTGAGTGCGAGCCCAGGCCACAGGGTCCTCCCGGAAGTCATAGCCGAGGTGCCACGCCAGGGCGTGGTCATTGGTCCAAAGTGCCTGCACATCCCTGCAGTGGTGACCACGCATGACTTGGGGGCGACCACCCCATGCCCAGGGCTTTCTGGGTGAACAGGGCCATCTGAAGGCGGTCAGGCCCCCCCAGGCTCTATGCCTGCCCTTACTTCTGTCCTGCATAGCTCTTGCTGTTGACGATCCGGAGTGCACCCACTTCCCATGCCTGGTAGTTGTGGGGTGCAGGTTTTGGAGTGAAGGTGAAGAAGCCAGAGTTGGGCACGTTCGTGGCCAGTGGATACAGGTATGACCACTTTGCTGTCCACTCTCCTGAGTATGGTGCTCCTAAGGGGATGAGGCCTTGTTAACCCTGGGGACCTGCCCGGGACACTTGGGGCAGGTACGGGACCTGGGCCCTTGTCTTTGGTACCTGGAGCAGCCTGCCAGATGTGTTCAGATGGGTGACAGACAGATAGGCAGCCCCCAAAGGAGGACCCTAGCTTAGGTGACCACCTGCCTACCCCCATACTCCAGAATCCTTATCCCTGCCAGCTGTCTGAGACCTCAGAGCATGCGGCACAGCAAGCCTCCTCTGTGTCCAGACAAGCTTCCTCCAGAGGGGTGGGGCCCCAACCACTGTCCCTTGTTCACCACCCACTTGCACCTCCCTAACCCTGATCCCGAATCCCTGCCTGAGCTCTCATCTCTCCTCATCCCTGGCTAGAACCCCCCAACCCACCACCCAACCCATTCTTCCATCTCTGGGAGCCTCAAGCCCAAGACCACCACAGCCCTCTGCGGGCCTCACCTGTCTCCTCGTAGCCCCACAGCTCAATGGTGACCTGCTGTGTGGGCAGTGCGGAGGCGTTCCAGGTCACGCTGAGGTTGCCCGTGGTGTCCTTGGTGCCATAGTATTGCCAGCGGGTCTCGTTCACCAGGTGGCCCTTCTCGTCCATTGACACTTTGTTGGGGTGCACTGGATGGGAGGGTGAGGGGTGAGTGAAGGCATGGGGCCAGAGCTGTGCAGGGGAGGGAGCCTGAAAGAGCCTGAAGGACAGAGCATCACAGCAGCGAGGGGATCTTCCCAGACCAGAGCACAGTCGGAGAAGCAGCCTGTCCTCCACTGCCCAGGCCTGTGGCCGCCACTTGGCTTCTCCCGAGCCCTGGGCTGGCTGAGCTGAGTGGGCAGACACCGGCCCCCCGTGGGACCCCTGCAGCTCCCACTTATTTGGGGTGGAACTCGTGTCTGGGTGCCAGGGCATGAGGCAATAAGCTCAGGAACCCCCGCCCCTGTGGCTGGGTAGGCAGGCCACCCGAGGGACTGGTTCAGCCAGAGCAGCAGGGTACAGGCGGGCCAAGTTTTGGTGTGGATGGATTAGCACTGGGGAAAGTCCCCGTGGCTGCAGGCGGGACTCAGGGGTGAGGGCTCACCTGCCAGCCAGGTGCCTGAGCGAGGGAAGGAGCGGCCATTGTCCAGTGAGACAGTGAAGGGGATGCGGCCACTCTCATAGAGCAGGGGGGACACACAGTGCACCTGCCCTGAGGAGTCCACGTGGCCGAGGGTCTGGATGCTCTCCTTAAACCTGTGGGGGCAGAGGTGGCAGGAGAGGCTGGGCCGGCTGGTGCTGGCTGATCCCCTCAAAGGCCAGGGTCCACTGACATCCACAGGGCACCCATCTAGCCAGCTGTGTGCCCTCCCTCCTGTTCTGGGTCCAAAGACCTTCAGTCAGCCAGCCAGGGGTCTGGGTCCCCAGCATGCAGGGGGCCGGGGGTGTGGGTCCCAGGGCCTGGCCCCTTGGGCCTCCCACCTGCAGATCACACCCTCTGTGGGGCTGAACCACTTGAAGTGTTGCACCACAAAGTCCTTGCCACCCATCAGGGAGCCTGAGTAGGGTGAGATCTCCAAGCAGAAGTCTCGGAAATCCGAGCAGCAGGTGCCAAGGCCAGAGCAGGTCGGGTGGCAGGAACACGGCCCTTCCGGGTGCCCACAGCGCATGGAGCAGCTGTCCTGGGCATCTGGAAAAGAGGACCCTGAGCACCAGGCTGGGCAGGTTCTGGGCCCTCTATTCCCCTGCAGTCCATTAGAGAGCAGCATTCTCAGGAGAATTCTGGCCAGGAATCCGGGAATGTCACTGGCCACCACGTGGATGCAATGGAAAACCACAGGGCCCGTGGGGATGGGGTTAATTTTAGCACAGATGACCTGGCTGTTGCACTGACTGGTGATACCTTCCTATGCTCAGTCTCACAGGGGCAAGAGGAGCCCCCAGGGCATGGCTGACCCTCAGCCACCAAGTCCTATATTTCACATGGCAGGGGTCCTCAGAGGGCCACAGTTGCCTGAGCCCTTGACCTGGGTGTGGGGGCCTCTCTAGATTCCCTGAGGCATCTGTGGACACGTGCCTCCCTGGGGCCTTGCAGCCCAGGAAAGACCCCTTTTGCTCGCCTGGGTTGGGGTCCCAGGATGTGGCTGGTAAGTCTCCTATTTGAGGCCTGACAGAGAATGGTGTCCAGGCTAAATGTGGCCCATCTCACTTCCGTGGAGGCTGAAATTGAGAACCCCGCCCTCGGAGGAGAAGGCCAGGGGGTCTCCCTTTTCGGGGAGAGGAAGGACATTTCCAGCAGGGATCCTGCCTCGGGGAGGGGGCACGGTGATGTCAGGCCCTGACAGTCTCCCATGGGTCGCACTGCCTGGAGCTGGCAAGGAGGACGGGCTGGAGGGTGTGACTGGGGTGGATGCAGGCACCCTGGCGCTTCCCAGTTCCTCTCAAACAAGGGCAGTCAAGGGCCAGACCTGGGCTGGAGACAGCCGCTGGCCCCACCTCACTGAGTGCAGTGTCTGCTCCAGGGCTCTGGACTCAGGGGCTTCCCCTAGACAGCCACAATCCTGGCTCCTTGTTCCAGTGTCACCTTCTGTCAGGGCTTGGGGTATAGGCTGAGGGTTCTGTGGGACTCCCTGCTTCCCTCTCTTTAGGGGTGAAGGGTCCAGGCTGCCCATCCCTGCCAGCAGCCCCTTGACCACAGATCCTCAGAATGTCTTCCCATAACATCTAACACAGCCACAGATGGCCTGACAGATGGACAGAAGCTGAGCCCAGAGGGGTGTCTGCCCCAGCACCGCTGTGGCAAGCAGATGGACAAACAGATGGGGCAGAAGGGCAGGGTGGGAGGCATACCTGCTGTAGGCCCAGGGCCCCAGCCTGGGGCTGTCACCCGCAGCAGCAGAGCCCAGGACAGGAGGGCCAGCTTCATGGTGTGGCCTGTGTCTGCAGCCAGCAGTGCAGTGGCTCTGAGACAGCGGGACGAGCTCAGTCCTCGCAGCCTGGCTCCGCCTGCCAGGCCCCGCCTGCCCTAGCTCTGCGGTACCGCCCTGCCCCGCCCCACCGGCCCCCGCCCGCCGTGTCCCCTCTCAAAGTCCACAGGTGCCTGCGCTGGCCCAACCTGCCCCGTTAGCACATTCCTGGCCCATAGGCCTAGGACAAGGGGTGGGAATGGGGGAGGTGGCCGAACCTTGGCCATGGGACCCTGTAGGAGGGCCAGGGTGCCAGAGACAGAGCCAGGTGCCCTCTCCAGAGGCTGCAACCCAACCCAGCCCTGCATTCAGGGTGGGGCTGCTAGGGATGGGATGCTGTGTAAGGGCAAAGCATGGAAGGCTCTCACTGGGAGGTGGTGTTCCTAACCCCTCCTCTGGCGGAGGCGGGGCCTGCTGGGTCAGAGATGCAGGACAGGCTGAGCCTAGGGCCCAGGCGACTCTGAGGGAGATCCTCTCTGGAAGGAGGAAGGGGGAAGGGGAGAGCCTCCACGCTGGACAGAAGTGGGGAGAGGAGTGGCTTTTCCCGCCACACCGCCCCCTGAGCCCCTGTGCTTTCTCTCACGGAGTTTGCATAATCTCTTTAGGGTTCCCCTCCCTTCTTGTTGTTCAGATGAGGAAAATGACACCCACACGAGACAGGCCCAAAGTTGTCAGGAGAGGTGGCAGGGCCAAGTCAGGCTTCCAGGACCTCCTTCCCCCGACCCCGCAGGTAGGGTGGGGTAGTGAAGTCTCTCTGGGTGTCCATCAGGCAGGTGGGCCTCTGCAACCTGCAGCTTCCCAGTGTGTCCAAAGGAGGCATGTCCCCAACCTCTCAGGGAGCTGCGGCTGGCCCCATGGTGCAAACAGCCATCATGTATGTCATCTGGGCTGTGACCTGTCTCAGCTCCTAGGGCTAGGCGGGCCATTGTTCCCAGGCCCATTCTCTCTCTAGCCTAGTGGGTGTGACTGCTAAGAAACACACTGGCTGAGTGTTGGCAGCCACCTGGGGTGCTCCCAAGGGTCCCCCCCCACCTCCATAGAGGTGTCAGATGAACTCTGAAAGGGAGACTTCCAACCTGGGTGCCTCCTGAACTCTCCTAGAGGGCTGCTCCCCCCTTATCTGCCCTCTCCCTAAAACATTTGCTGAGAAGACCTTCAGCTTCAAAAGGGGAAAGTCCTCTGCAGATCACTCAGGAGATTCCTCTGAGGGCCTCCCATAAACAAGGTCCTGCAAATTATCTTTAGGTCTGCAGGATAAGACTAGCGCCTAGAACTAAAGGCTGTTGGATTCCATACTAAAATGCTGATTACAAGTTGATATTCCCGGGTGCTGTCCTGTCTCTCTCTTTAAACATTCGCCTAATCTCGTGTACAATGTCCTGGGGATTAACTGAAGGGTCTGAAGAATGCGACCATTTGCCTCATTGCCCAGCCCCTCTTTTTTTTTTTTTTCCTGTGTGCCCTGCTTCCTTAAATATTTAAGTTCCAGGCCAGGAGTGGTGGCTCACACTCGTAATCCTAGCTCTCTGGGAGGGTAAGGTGGGAGAACCCCTTGAGCTCAGGAGTTTAAGACCAGCCTGAGCAAGAGTGAGACCCCCCCACCTTTACTAAAAATAGAAAAATAGCTGGGTGTTGAGGCGGGTGCCGGTAGTCCCAGTTAATCAAGAGGCAGGAGGATTGTTTGAAACTCAGTGATGGAGTTTGAGGTTGCAGTGAGCTAGGCTGACTCTAGCCTGGGCAAGAGAGTGAGACTCTGTCTCAAAACCCTTTCCCCAAGCCCTCCAAACAAACAAACAAACAAACAGACAGACAGACAGATAGACAGACAGACATAACTTTGAGATATCACCTAATCCCAGTGAGAATGGCCCATATCACAAAATCCCAAAGCAACAGATGCTGGCTCCAGGGAGGCAAGAAGGGAACACCCACATGCCTTTGGTGAGACTGCAAACTAGTCCAGCCTCTGTGCAAAGAAGCATAGAGAGTTCTCAAAGGGAGACCTACCATTTGATCCTGTAATTCCACTACTAGGCATTTACCCAAATGAAAAAAACACATTTTACCACGGGACATTTGCACTTGAATGTTCATAGCAGCTCAGTTCACAATCGCAAGATGTGGAAACAACCCAAGTGCCCAATAACACACAAAAGGATTAATAAACTGTGGTCTGTGTATGCCATGGAATACTATTCATCCCTGAAAAAAGATGGAAATTTTGCATCCTTTGTAACAACTTGGATGGATTTGGAGAACATTCTCCTAAGTAAAATATCACAAGATTGGAAAGCATCACACGTACTCAAAAGCAATTTGAACTAGAAGATTAACAAATCACAGACCCACAGGAGAGAAAATCTCAAACTCAAGAAGTGGGGGGGCTCGGTGCCTGTGGCACAAGCGGCTAAGGCGCCAGCCACATACACCTGAGCTGGCGGGTTTGAATCCAGCCCGGGCCTGCCAAACAACAATGATGGCTGCAACCTCCCCCCCCCAAAATAGCTGGGCATTGTGGTGGGTGCCTGTGGTCCCAGCTACTTGGGAGGCGGAGGCAGAAGATTCGCTTGAACCCAGGAGATGGAGGTTGCTGTGAGCTGTGATGCCACAGCACTCTACTCAGGGCGACAGCTTGAGACTCTGTCTCAAAAAAAGAAGTGGGGGAGCAGAAGGGGCTCAGTAGCTTGCCAACCCAGTGGGTACAGTGCATGGATATATGGCACACTCCCTGGGTGCAGGACACAGCTACAACTTTGATTTTTACCTGACATGTGTAAATTATATAACCTAATGGTTCATACCCTCATAGTAATCTGAAATTTAAAAAAGAATGAAAAAAAAAAAGAAAAAAAAGATGCACCTGTGGTTTGTGTGTTTCCCCGGTATTCCCTCAAACTTTGGCTTAAAAAACCTCCATTGATTGAGATCTCTGCCTCAGTCACTTACTCTGTTCCTCTGGGTACTCAGGACACCTCTGTAGGTACGTGTCCTGAGTGTGGATTTTTTTTTTTTTTTT